CTAATAGGGCTCAAATTGCACAAGCGAAGATACCTGTTTCTTCTTCTGAGCCTTTCTGCTTTCTCAGATTTCGAACGTTTCATTCCTTGTGTGCGCTCACACAAGAAGAGAATGAAGCCGAGTATTGCTTAGAATCTTAAAATTCCCATAAGCTATAGTTACTGTGGCTCTCTCCTATGGGCCTTATTATGATACAGTGGCAAACTTCTGTTTCGTACCCCTGCCCTACATACGAGGTGTTCGCTCGTGTCTTACACCCTTGTAGTTCACTACAGCGAGTTCGTACTTGTCTCACACGCTGCTGTGGTATACTATAAATGTGTTCGTGCTTGTCTCACACCCTTGTAGTTCACTACAGCGAGTTCGTACTTGTCTCACACGCTGCTGTGGTATACTATAAATGTGTTCGTGCTTGTCTCATACCTTGTTGTAGTACAGGTCCACGCGACACATAAGTTTGCACTGCAACTTGGGAACTTTAAACTTTATTTCAAATATAATTATTAGAGAGAATAAAACTTTCTCCGCAAGAAGTCACCTTTGTCCTATTTTATTATGAACTCTCTATTTCAAAAAATTCAAGAAAAGCGCATTATTTCAAAAGTAATTTAAATTAAAAAAAAGATTTTTTTTTTAAAATTGTATTTCTGAAGATGTAGCGGTTAAAATATCATTGTATGTTATAAAATTATTTAAATAAGTCAAATATACTTGTGTAATTAAACCTACCTATTACTGATGCGTCAGTAGCTCTAAGTCAGGAACACTTACTCCAGGTAGTGGACACGCAGTTAGTTTCTTCAATGGTAATAATTAAACCCATTTATGAGAAATATATTGATCTTTCGTTAATAATCTCCAACCATAAATAAAACTCTATTATATGCTCACTGTCAGATTTATTATAAAATATAGAATATTAGGAGTATACTTTTTAGATACCAAATATACATTTAAACTCTAAATATATACGAGCCCCTTCCCATTTCAGTTGGCCCACCTTATAATTTTTTAGAAATGTGTCCCTTTGTGACAAAATAAAAGTACAACCTGAACTTTTTTAAAAAAAAATTATTTACCTACATAATTAAACTCTATTTACCAAAATATATACGTAAAAACCGATAAATTTATACAAAATGAGAACAAACAGAAAAATATTAACAAGAACAGAACATTCAAGAAAAAACAGTTTTAATTTTTTTTTACCACTGGGTAACATCGCCTTTATTTTTTGTAACTGCCGAAATTCTTTGTGGCATAGTATTAACCAAGTCTTCACAAAATTGTGGTGTAAACGAATTCCATATCTCCTGAAGCCTTTCCTTTAATTCAGGGATTGTTCTGGAAGGATGTGTCCGCAACACTTTTTTCATCGCATGCCACAATGTTTCGATCGGAGACAAATCGGGGCTACTGGAAACCCATTCCAAAAGTGGTACGTTGTAATCTTCCATCCATTTTAGTGCTTTTTTTTGAAGTGTGGCATGCTGCGCCATCCTGTTGGAATACAAAATCTTACCCTGATGTCAAATATTTCTCCATGACAACAGCGATTCTTCTAAAATGTCTAGATACTTTTCCGTATTTACAATTCCTTGGATAAAATGGAAGTTTTCCTACCCCTTTGGATGACATGCTGCCCCACACCATGACTGACGCAGGAAATTTGACTTTTTTCTTTAAACAGTCCGGATGGAAGGCTTCATGTTTTTTGCGAATTACTCTACTTCTACTGTCCCCAACACACACTTCAAATCGGGACTCATCGCTCCACTCTACTGCACGCCATTGTTGAGATGTCCAAGATCTATGTTCTTTAGCCCATCTTAATCTATTTTTCTTTTGCCGTGGAGTTAAAAGTGGCTTTTCTTTGGCCTAAAACAAAATTGTCAGTTGTAAACAATTTTACAAAAAAAAAAAATATTTATCCAGTATGAACTTTATTATTTTTATCGTCAAAAATGTTACCTTATAAGTACCAAATCCCAGTTTGTGGGCCTCCCGATGACATGTGGATCTCGAAATGCGCCTTCCATTAGCATCACTCCATAGAGCACTTAGATCTAAATAATTGGAACGTCGATTCTTTACAATAATTCTTCGTAGCGCTCTTCTATCTGCAACTGTAACGTTGCTGTTTCTTACATATCTAGGCTTTGTAGTGACTGAACCGGTAGTTTTGTATCTTTTAACTATGTTTCTTACACTATATCTCGACAAATCTAACAAATTTGCAATTTCCGAATTTGATTTTCCAGAATTGGCAAATTTAATAATAATTGAACAAATTTTCTCATCGATAATCTTTCCTCTACCCATTTTCACGATAACAACTAACCATAAAATGTAAAAAATACATTCTGACAGTTCCATAGTAGTTTGTCTTGGCTTAAAATTTCCAAAGCCACCGTCGATATAATATGTTTATTTTGTAATACAAGTCAAATGGGTTTTATTAAAAACTAATAAAAACTTCGTTTCGAAATATTTTTGATTTTTCGTTAAAAATTCTAAAAGGAAATAATAAAGTGGGAGTTTTTCTATTTGATATTATTAAAAATATACCCTTATATACCTAAAATATCAAGTATTATTTATTATTATATCATGGTGCTTAAAAAATTAAGATTTTAATAGTTGGGCCAACTGAAATGGGAAGGGGCTCGTATAGACATATGTAGTATGATAAACCATAATTTCCCAAGGAATTATTTTAAAATATCCATAAAAAAAAAATAAATGCTTAGTTTTTACCTAGCAGGCATACGCATTCAAATTAGAAAACCTAACACATTATTTGTTACTTATCAAAGAATATTATTAACAAGATCCTAGACGTGGACCTAGTTCTAATCAGATTCATATTTAACTTTAAAAATCAAAGAATATGTTTCCCACAAGTGGAGAAGTATTAAATTATCAATAAATAATCTCACCAAATTAAGGGTTCTTTTACAGTGATTTATTAAAACACCACTGCCACCAAAAAAAGCTTTCCCTCCGTTCCAATGGCTGGAAACTACGAGATGGTCCAATCTCCACATCCATTGCTAGGAGACGATCCGAGACAAACTCGACGTGAAAATCTTGTAAATAATTCAGCCTTTGAACCGCTATAAGAATTCCCAATCGCCTAAAGTTCTCGGCTTATTCATCAACACGTGCGCATGATGGGCTTGATATCCCACACGAACTCTGGAATTAAATATCCTATGAGAACCTAGTTCATTTTCCACTAGTGATATTCTTTTGAAAGGTTTATTGATCAAGATAAGGTTCTATTAAATGTTGATTTGTTTATAACTTATCCCTCCTTATTTTATAAAATGGCGGACGGCTATGTAAAAAAAACACGCCGGTGTTAAGTCTTAACACATACTGGATTTTGCTTAAAAGATACCATTCAATCTGCAACTCAATATCACTACTTCCTGTCGAAGGTTTTAAAATCACATACTTATATCACTGAATTTATTTCATATTTAAAGTTTGTAAATGTAACTGATAAAAATACCCGTTCGGTACTTGTGCCAAACCAGAAAGGAAATAACTTTTTCCTGTTTATGTCTTCACAGAATATATTTAATGCGTCGATTCAGTGACTACTTCCAACTTCTGTCGTTAGATGTCATGGCTCTAATATTTGATTATATGCAAATTAGATTATTCTGAGTATTTTATTTACCTTTTAAAAAATATTAATTTAAAGTTTGAAATCAGATATTGCGTTTGCAAAACATTTAAAGTCTAATAACTGTCAATTTTTCATAATTAAAAATATATGTTTAATGAGTGTTGCCTACTCTTAGGAAGGTAGTTCCTTAAATTAAATAAATATCGATTTTTGGTAGTTTAAAGTTTCTTACAGTGGCGTACTCAAATGAATTAATTTAAATAAATTATTAAAATTAATTATGGATATCGTAAAATTAAACCGTTATAAAGAAGCAACAAGCTTTATTAATTTAAAAAAAGATATTAAAATATTTGGTTATGAGTGTTATTCCTTATCGAGCAGCGTATTTAATCAATATTGCGAGAGGTAAAAAATGAAAAAAAACAAATAACGAGAATAATTTTGATGAATTATTCGCGGGATTTAGATCACGGCTAACTCCACCATGTCACGTTAAGTGGTTTGTTGGGCAAACCAATTAATGTTGTGGTACGCCACTGCGTATTTCGGATCGCCCAAACGATCTTCCAGTCGAGGAAGTTCTTTGTGCCACCAGAAAATACTCACTGGAGAACCTTTCTTATAATTTATTATGCTTGGCTTGGCTTTACGCTACCGGGGAAGGAATAAAAGTCACGGCATAAAAAAGTCTTTAATAAACACAAACTAAAATCCCCTGAACTACCCAGAAATCCCCAATATTATAATACACACCAAATATACAATATAAACACTACAAAGAATTCAAAGAACAAACTGGTTACTTTTCTTAGAAATACCTTTTAAGATTTTATTTTATTTTTTTATTAAATTTATAAAATAATCTTACCACATGCTTTAACAGGAAGCTTGAATGTCACGACTTTTTTTTATTTTTATGACTGTAATACAGCCGAGAGGTACTGTCTCTTTGCCCAGAGTATTACCTACTGCCGATTTATGTCACAGCCGAAGAACTTATAGCCTCGGTTAGGCCAAAAATGTTATTATTTTTTGTTTTGTCAACAACATTGTTTTGAAATTGTAGAATCAGCATAACCGAATTGAGTGCTTTGTTTAATTTCAACATAAACACAAATTGGAATTGAATCAAAATTAAAAAGATTGAAATAAAGTTATATTTTTGAAAATGGCTTTAATAAAATTTGAGTTGAAATATATTTTTGGAAAGTACTTTATTTTATCTTTAATTAAAATCTACTTATTTTTAAATGCAATTCGTGACAATATTACTATTACTAAGATGTACACTGATTTTATGGAAAAGCATAAACATGTTGAGTGTTCCTATTATACATATAGGGCATTCGTAAGAGATGATATGAAGATTTTATTTGCAAAGTTGTGCCACGAAGAATGCGAGCAGTGCGAGATATTCCAGCAGCATGATAATATTCATTCCGAAAACAACCTGGACTTGGATAAATGCGATATCTGCAAAAAAATGGAACGTCCACATTAAGAAGGCCAAGGAAGCAAGAAGAAAATATAGAGAAGATGCTGATTCTACAGAATGGACAACTTCAAATATATGTGTGTCAGCAGATCTTCAAAAAGTAATCATGCTGCCGCGCATCGATACTTTCAAGCAGGTATTTACTAAAGCTAATATCAATATTTATCTTCTTAGAAACGCTGTTTTTAGGTATTGTTCACCCAAAGGATCATTGCCTTTAATGAGAGCTTTGTCGGAGTTGGGAAAAACCAAAAATCTGTGGGTCCAGCAGCTGTAATATGGCATGAGGCATTAGCTGGGCGCAAAAAAGAAGAAATTTGTAGCGTGCTCCATAAATATTTGCTCAGTCAACGTGATGTCTTAACTATAAAAATCTGGCTTGATAATTGTTAAACCCAAAATAAAAATTGGACATTATTTTCTTTTATTGCACATATCATCAACTCTTCAGAAATTGCTGCAAACAATATAGAAATGTACTATTTCGAGCCAGGTCATACGTTCATGTCGGCTGACAGTTTCCACCACCAGGTGGAACAATCTTTAAATTCATATGACTCAGCTTCAAAAAATGGAGGTGGTGGAAAAGTTTATGACTTTAGTGATTTCCAAGATGCCATCCAGCAAGTCAAGATAAGGAATGTAAATGTTTTGACAATGAAGCTAACGGATTTTAAAGAATGGAAAAATAACAGTTCATTGCAGAGAATTAAAAAATATTCACCAAGACCTTACCTAAGTGATATCGTCAAATTAAAATTCGAAAGGGGTAGTTTTAGTATGTGGTACTCATATGAATATGATTCTCCATATAAAGAGCTAAATTTTTTAACTGCAAAATATCTAAAAAAACATAGATGAACCTAAATCAAGATTAATTTGCAGGGGTATTTCAAAATCAAAGAAAGATGACATCATAAAAAGGAAGTAGTAAATTTGTCCACAGATGTTGATATGTAAATCTCATCATTTGTCTTTTTATAATAATATATATAATTAAACGTTTCCCCTATTTTTAAATGTATTTTTTTGGTACAATAAAATAGTTTCAAAGTTAGATCGATTGTTTCTTTTCCTAAATTATTTATATACCAAATTTTAACTTTTTAACAATAATAATAATAATAATAATAATTACATATTATACGGTATTAATTTACAACACGTGACCTTTATTAATATTATAATGTAATTTAAAACCCCTTATCTACACACATAAGGTGTTTTAATGACACATTCAAAGTAAAGTAAGATACAATATTACACAAAAACACCTCATGTGTAGATAAGGTGTTTTTAAGAAATATATGAAGGTCACAGAAATACCTTATCTGCAATTATTAATATTATAGAACAAAAATAGTCCCCAAATGTCCCCAATTAAACACGTTGCCTTATACAAAACTTTAAACCAATAATTTTGGAAATAATTTTTATTAAGGTGATTACAGCACCCCCTTATAATTTTCGGACAAGGATATCTCAAAAAGTAATTTTTTTAAAAAGTTAACATTTTGGAAAAATATATTAGGCAATAATATCTAGAATATGCATATATTTTAAAGTTTTAATTCTTTTCAGTTTCCGAGAAAAAAAATCAAAGGGCTTTAAATTTTGAAATATCATAATGAAAATAAATGCATTCCTCAACATTACTATTCTTAATATAATCCCTAAATTTAAGCTCTTAATAAATTGTTAATGATTTTTTAAAATTCGCTGAAATTAGTGACTAAAACGCCTTGTTAAGTGCTATTTTCTGGTTTAAACTGGTGTAAACTGGTGTAAATCGTTGCAAGAAACGAATGATGACTCAGAGTGTACGATACGATAGTTATAGACCCGTTACACTAGAAAGAAGCACTTAACGAGGTGTTTTAGCCACTAATTTCGGCGAATTTTAAAAAATCATTAACAAGAGATTTAGAGCTTAAATTTGGGGATTATATTAAGAATACTGCTGTTGAGGAATGCATTTATTTTCATTATGATATTTCAAAATTTAAAGCCCTTTGATTTTTTTCTCGGAAACTGGAAGGAACTAAAACTTTAAAAAATATGCATGTTCTAGATATTATTGCCTAATTTATTTTGCCCAAATTTAAATTTTCTAAAAAAATTACTTTTTGAGATATCCTTGTCCGAAAATTATAAGGGGATGCTGTAATCTCCTTAAGAATATGATGCTATGAGCTTCTAAACGTTTAGGGTTATTGTGAACATTTCACCTTGAATCACATGAGGCGTTTTTCGTTAACACGGCAGAATACCTTTGGATATTTGCTATCGCTGAATCAGAGAAATAAAGTCGGAGGTCGTTAAAGAATTAATTGGTGACGAGAAACGGAATGATTTTTGGAGAAAGCGAGAATAAAGAAATAAATAATAACAGCAAGAATGAATAAATAAAATTAAATAAATAAAACAAAACTTGAAGTGAGGAACGGTAAATAATTAGAACTTCTTTTAAATTGAGGTACTCATAACTCAAGAACGAATAAAACCTCCGAAAAAGAAAATAAAATGGGCGGCTTCCCCTATGATAAAAAATGACAAAATCGGGTTGAAACTCTTACTCCAGCGTTAACTAGGGGGTTTTTTAAAGGAGATTGGATAAAGTCGTCCAAATTGAGATACTCATAAATCAAGCCTCAATCCAGCCTCAAGTAAAAATTGCCAACGATTTCTCACTAAGGGGTAAAATGAAAACATTCTGAATATTAATCAAAATTCTCCGCCTAATTAAACGGATGTCCCAAACTAACTGTAAAACGAAAATTAGAAAATTTCCTACCTTGGAAAACGGGAATAATACAGTCACTGTTACGCTCGGGAAACTAAAAACTTCTACTGGCACGGCGGCAAACACTGCAGAAGAAGAGACTACCGTGGTCAGGAATCAAAGAGGGCAAATTTTTACTTCTTCATCTTATTTATGCCTTTTCAGCAGGCAAGCTCGGAACCCGGCATTTTCGGAGTGGGAGATACCTCCACCACATACGACTGTTTACTAGTTCAAAATGAAAAAAATGCCCTACTAGCACCATGATAAATACAAGTAGATAATTGACATGAAATTGAATCTACAAATGTCCATTCGGATTTCGGCAAATATGGAAATATTTTAACCTACGAGGGTCTCGCAATTGTTTAAAAGTCCTGGGAAACACAAATACGGGGTTCTTCGACATATTCTGGGAATTAATTAAAATATAATTTTTTAAAATTAATTAAAAATAAAATTTAGGGACTTCGTCACAATTTATTCTTCTGTATTTCATGAGAATAGTAAACTCATTACTATCACCTGAGAAAAAGATGCCAGGATAAGCCTTTATTACTTTTTATTATTAATGCATCTTGTTAGTAAAGGACGAGTAAGATCCTTACATATTTCTGTTCTTGTAATAAGGCAATCACAATGGTTCCTAATTAAATAAAATTTCATGTATGGACGTATTAATTCATATAAAGAATATTCTTATAATTAATTCATTTACAAAGAATTTTTCAAGTTATAACTTGTCTAGGTACTTCTGATGGTGAGTAAAACCGCAGAAAATAAAAAAATGTAAAATACACGTCTGTCGGCGAGAATGGCCGCCGAGTGTTTATAGTTAGTTTATCCTTATTTTAATGTCAAGTCTTTAGCTAAATTAATAGCTGCTTATATAAGACTTTTAATTTATTTAAAGTATATTATTAAGTGACGGGTAAGATCCTTACATATTTATTTAAATAATCTATTTTTTTAGACATCAAATAATTAGATGAGTAAGGCTGTAACCGCCACAACGGGCTACAATGTATGTTGGTTGTCGATCTCAACTTTATGCCTATCGGTTCACTCGTGTAGAGACGGGAGTGGGTTAAATTCACAAAAATGATCGAAATACATGGGCGCCAGGTAACTTCAATCCTTCTATAGCTCCAAATTCACCTTGTAAGTTACCAAAGTCAGGTAAATTAAAGGACAATTCTTCAAAATACACCGATTTATTAACAAAATTAATGGTAAACTCAAAGTGCGAGATGTGATAAGGTTCAATATTCGACTTACAGTTAGATTTACGAAATATGTCAAAAGATTTACAATAAGACAAAAAAAATCCCAAAATTGTGACACGTATACAAAAGTTACGATAAGTCACAGTCAATACAAGAAAATAACTAAAATTGTAATTGATACTAAATTTACATTAAGCCAAAAATATTAATTTATGGAGGGAAAACTAAAGAGTATATAATTATACTTTTTGGAAGGTATTAACTTATACGCGTAAGAACCATAAACAGTAGGGTAACTACTCTAGCGGAGATTAAATCAAAATGAATTATGATGTGATTATTCGTTAGCGTTTGGTACCAAAGGCGCGCGAGTATAACCTAAGTTAAAGTTAGTTTCTTTCAAATAAAACTAACGGCGAGTAAATAAAAGACAATTAATTTCCGCCTCACAGAAAATAAGTCCCCAGTCATTTAAATTGACAACATTTTAACATAATTTGTTTTAAAATCCCGAAAAATATATATCATATTACCCCCACTATTTAAATCATATTACTGAACTAAAACTAAAATCAAATAAATCGGTGCTCAACTTAACAAAATGGTACAGTAATTATAAAAAAAAATTATTTATAAAACATCAAAAACCTGCTAAAACCATTCCCATGGCCAGTATATCTGCTACTTCTCCATCCCATGACGAAGTCCAAGATAAAGATGACATTCTGCCGAAGAACAAAGCAGAGTCGTCGGCGCGTAGCCACGTCGAAGTTAGGTACACCGGCTCTCGGGCTCGTACCCTCAGGTAGGGCTTTAGCCACATCAAAAAAAATATTCAATACCCCCAGAGGGTCGCAAACGGACTCCCAGTCCTTCCAAGGTCCCTAAAATTATTTACAATCTATAAATCTACTTGGGATTTAGCAATCAAAACGTTGTGAACCTCTACCAACTTTTAATGGGAGGTCTACACATAAATCCCCTTAATAAATACACTTGAAAAATCGTTGTGAACCTCTACCAACTTTTAATGGGAGGTCTACACATAAATCCCCTTATTAACTACACTTGAAAAATCCCCCCCCCCTTAAGTGATTAAAGGTTAAAGGATTTAAAACTTTACAAAGTTCAAACACTACAAAAAAAAAACTATGAGAGGAAAAAAAAATAAAGTCTTACCTTTTAAAGAAAAGGGAACCAACCAATGCCAATGAAAAAGGGTTAATCAACCCCGATGGGGTAGCCAAATGATAAAGTGGAGGTCTGGAGAGACCACACTGAGCCACAATCCAAAAATAATCCGATTTGCGTCGTGGTGAGTCCAAAAATGGCCGCTAAGATAATCCTAATCACAATCCAATATCCTCAAACAATCGGCCACCAAC